TTCAAATTTCGTGGCTATCTAAAAATTCATCAAATTTCTTAGCCACGAATATTAAATTGATAAAGCTAAAATCTAGTTTTTTCTATAATTATCAATTGTCGTGGCAATAATTACCTAAATAGCTATAATATTACTGCTACGATAAAATTATGTAGCTAAATATAAGTTTTTGCCACACGATAAAAGTAATTGTAGCAATAGTAACTCATTAGCCACAATAAGTTATTTGAAACAAAATATTGTAGCTAATAAATATATTTGCTTCGAGTTATAAAATATTATGGCAATAATTAAACGAAGTAGCCATAGATATTTTGTTACAATAAAATTTCGTAGCTAATTGTTAATTTTTACCGGGAGTTTAAATTTACGATAGTGATAACAACCTTTTAGCCACCATAAGTTATTTGAAGAAATATTTGTAGCTAAATAAATAATTTTGCTTCAGTTTATAAAGATTGTGGCGATAAATAAATGAAATAGCCATAATTTTTTTGCCAAAATAAAATTTCGTAACTAATTGTTAATATTTACCACGAATGTGAAATTGCCATAGTAGTGATAAATTTTAACCACCATAAACTATTTGAAGAAAAATTAATAGCAGAATAGATATTTTTTTTCAAGTTATAAAATTTGTGGCATATTAAAAGATACAGTCGTTGATTTTTTTCTATAATAAAATTTATAATTAATTATAATTTTTTCCGCCATCGTGTTGAAACTAGTTGGAGCAATAATAACCTTTTATCCATAAAATATAATTTAAAATAAAATACTATAGTTAAATAAATATTTTTTGAGTATCAAAAATTGTGGCAATAATTAACTTAGTAATTATAATTATTTGTCATTACGAAATAATATAAACATGAGACACACAAATATGAAGAGTACCACAACTTAAAGAGGAAAGGAAACAAGTTTTGCACCAAACCGTGGATGTTAATAAGAAAATCACATTAAAAGTAATTAATTACTTATTTTTAAAATTATTTTTCAAGAACTAACATCAATTAATATATGGATATCTTGTAAAATAGTCATACCAATCGTCATTTTTATAGAGGTGTAACGTCCAAAGTGGACTAAATAAAGTGAATGATACATGTAGTTTTCTTTTGTTCAAATTCCATAATTATCAATTTAATTACAATAATTTAACAATTGACAAAAAAAGAAGATAAATACAATATAATTTATTATGAATTTAACTAAGGTTTGTAAAGTACATGAGCACAATTAAGATGAGATGTTTTATGTAATACGAGATGAAACATAAGTTTTGAGGTACTTTATGTTGTGTTCAAAAATTGTTATTTGAGTCACATCTCTTTTATCAAACAATACACTTATCTAGCTATCTTAATTAGAGATGTTAATTATTCTATCTTAAAAGATCTTAATAAATAAGTTTTAAATATAAATTAATAAAAAAGAGTTATGTTTAACTAATTTTGGTTGATTACCTATATTAAATTTAAACAAAATTAACTTCACTAATTCACCTCAAATTTCTTCTTCTTCAAGTACTTTGAGAATTGTTAGATTTGACTCGAACTTATTTTCTCAAAATAATATATCGTTGTATAATAATAGGTGTACATTGTTCTAGTCGATTTAGTTTTAAGTTTCAAATATAATTTAAATAAATGTTAAATAGATAGCATTGTTCTTTTTTATTCTCAATATGACTTTTTCATTAGTGTATTTTTTTTCTAAACTTAACTTGTATTTTTTTAGTTGAGCTAAAAGTCTTTCGAAAATATTCTCTATCTTCACAGATAAGGTTATATATACATCACCCTCTCAAAATTTCACTAAGATTACACTGTTGCTATTATTATTATTATTATTATTATTTCTTATTATATCTAGTAAGTTTCAAATACAATTTAAACAAAGTTCACCAATAACCAGGGTCGTTCATCTGTTATCTTAAACAAGCACTACATGAAAATTGTAATCTGACTTGGACCTTTATTTTTTAGAATAATCTCAACAGATTTAATGTAATTAGATGTTTATATAAAATTTAGATTCAATTAATTTTATATGACCTTAATTATAAGTGTTTGATCATGAATTTTTGTCTTTCTCCAAAAGTTGAACTACGAAAATCACGTTTGGTCATAAAATTTCGAAATTCAACTTGAATTCTAGAATTTTGAAGAATTGGGGATACAACAAAAAAGTCTTTTCATCCTTTTCACTCCAAATTACTCATAAAAAGTCAAAAACAATTTCAATTTGTATTCATGGTCAAACACAAATTTCCTTTCAAATATAACTTCAAAAATAAAAAGTACTTTTTTCAAATTTTATAACAAATCATGGCCAAATTATATACCCACATAATTAATCACTACTAAAAAATAAGATTTAGCGACAAACAAATATTATAATCAAATAGAAAAACCTATCATTAATAATATTTAGCATTGAATTGACAACAAAATTCTTTTAGCTACGAGAAAAAAAGCAATAAATGCGACAAAGTTCGTAGCTAATTCAAATTCTTTTAGATAATGATTTTAAGTTTTAAATATAATTTAATTCTATTAAAACCTTCTTATTGTTCTGAATATTAGGAGGGAAATGGATGAATTCACAAAAAAAATCTTCTAATTTATGAAAAAAATAATGAGTTATATCAAATTTTTAAAAAACAGCAAGTAATTTGTAGCACCGAAATTCAAAACAAAGGCAAAAAGATTTCCCTCCAAGTTATTTCCCTCTCATTATTTTCTGCCTAAATTAGCTCTCTTTTCCTATTTTAATAAGTCAAAATCCCTAAAAAAAGCTTTCCCCCGAAAGGAAGAAAATCAACCCACACGTCAGTTTCTCCTATATTTTTTAATATACATCCCAATTTCAACTTTTGTTTCCAAGTCACTGCAAAAATAAATTGTATGAGTAACTTTTTTCTTTGCCTGCTTTTAAGTACATGATTTAACAAAGTACTATTTTGATTTGTGAGATTTCACCTTAGCCAAGTACATTCTTCTTTTTTTTTTAATTTTCTTTTTTCTTTCACTTTCATAATATTTTTTTATTCAATGAGATGATATTATAGCCATGTTTTATTTCTAATTACTCTTCATGTGGAGTATATTATTTTCTTTTTTTGTGTTCTGTTTATGATTGCTCCAATTTTATTTCACTAGAATTTGATATTTTGGAAGGAAATTATTATTTTTATATGAGAGATGATAGGACTATTCGTGATTATGATGGATTATCGGAATGTTTTGATGATTCAAATGTTATGAGCATGACTATTAATTATAAATTGCATAAGGAAAATCTGTCCAAATTTACACATTACCAAAGAATTGTGATATTTTTATAATAACTTTTCTTGAGAAAAGTATTCTTAGGAATCATGTGTCAAAAAGAGATTGCAAATATGAAAGAACATGAATCATCAAATTCAACAAGTATTCGTTATTGTTATTGATCTTATTTTACTTTTATAGACACTTATATTTGATGTTATTTATATAGTTTTCAAATGATGGTTGCAGCTCAAGGTTGACACTCAAAAGATTTTATAACCGTAAGTAATTTAAAAAATATATATTTTTCCATATCATTAATTTAGTAAATATTTGTTTTATTTGAAAAGTTATACTAATAATTAAATTGAATATGTCATTATTTTATTTTTACTTTAATTTTTTAACTGTTATTGCAGCTTGTGAAGGAGTGATGAAAGCATCAAAATTGATGTGATACGGATAATTATTTTCTCTTGTAAAAGAATATTGATATGTTTGAGTAAAATGATGTTTCACTATTTTAGAAGACATTGTTGAATCTTTATTAAGTATTTTTTTAATACATTATATACAATAAACAATTTATTATATTTTGCACTATCTTTTATAAATTTTGTGTTAAATCTTATCTACATTATATGAATTGGTAGCTATAATTTTATTGAATTTGCTGCAAAACATGTATAATTGCCACGGAAATATTATTTATACACATTTTCATATCAAATGAAGAACTTTTAGCTACAATTTATATCTTGTGACAATGAGGTGTGAAAATTTAGTTGTCAAATATTAAATTCGTAGGTATACATATGCTCCTATAATTGCCACGGATAAAGAACATGGCTAAAAAAATACTTTTTCGTAGCAAATAATTTTTATTTAGTTTCAATGCTATATATTTCATGGCTAAAGGTATGAATTCTTAGCTACAATATGAAAATATTTGTGGCAAATACATTGAGTTATAGCTATGAATTTTTATAATTCATAACTAAATATGATACTATTGCCACGAGATAAGTTACAGAACTAGCTACAAAATTCAAATTTCTGTGTCAAATAAATTAGATCTTTTGCTACAATACAACACCTTGTGGCTACTATATAAATATAGCTATAAATTTATTTGTAGTGGCACAAGAGTAAGATAACTTGCCATAAGTTTATTTTTGTGGCAGAAACTTGTTTCTATTGCAGCTACATACAATTTTTAATCTGTAGCTAGAAGTATAACTTTTTAGCCACAGACCATGTAAAGTTTGTAGCTAACTTTTAGCCACCCTACATCTTGCTACGGATGCTACGAAAAAAATAATGTAGCTAAAGTGTTTAGCTACGGAAAATTTTATATTTAGCTACAATGTGTTTTGTAGCTTTAAGTACATTTTCTTGTAGTGGCAACTCTCTTATTTTTTTTTGTGTATTAGCCTATGGATTTGGCGCCTTGGGGCACCCAATTTTTTTTTTATGAATTATTTTTATGAGGACCTCCGTAATGAGTTGGGGGAGCATTACATATAGTCCCACCATTTTTAAGGCATATTTTTGTATTTACGAGCCAATTTTTAGGAAATACGCGACTTTCTTAGTTTTTCGTGTGTATTACCCATGGATTTGGCACCTTGTGGGTTGTGGCACCCAGAATTTTTTCCTGAAAAAACTTTATGAGGACCTACGTGATGAGTTGGGGGAGCATTACGTATTGTCCCACCATTTTAAGACATATTTTTACATTTACGAGCCAACTTTTAGAAATTACGCGAAAAATTACTCAAACTCAATTTTTTTTTGCCTAAAACAGACATTCGAGGCCAAAGTTATGAACATTTGAAATTTTGCCATTTTACGATTAGATTTCTAATTTCACTCCTTAATTAAGTTGTCCTTTCTGTGTTATTGACTTTTTATTTATATAGAAGAATAGTTACATAGTAATTTTTTGTTCTAACTTTTTTTATTTTAAATAATTATTTTTTAATTTAAAAGTGAGGCCCGTAAATCTTATTTATTAAAATTATTGAAAATCGCGTAAATGTATTAATAGCGATCATGATCTACTAGTTTTTGCTAAAGTCTCCAAATGGACCCTCGAGATTCGTTCAAAACCCAGTACACACAAATCATATATTCTAATTGACTAAACTCGACGTTTCAGACTCGATAGAGATGTCGAAACACGAATCTGAGGTCTCGTTGACCCAAAACTCGTGGAAGTCCCTAGAAATGAACATAATTCCTAAAAAAGCTATCTCAAGCTCGGGACCTCTGAAAAATCAACCAAGACCTCACATAGGCCAAATTCAACGAAACTCTCAAAATTTTGATTTGAGCATCCGAACACCGAATGTTGACCAAAGTCAACCCAAAGGCTAAAATTTCACAAATTTCCAACTTAGATGACCCCTATTTGATTGGTTGATAAATTGCTTGAATGCATGAAAGTGGACTTGAATTGCATGAATTGTTGCTTCTTCCGTGTGGTGTGATATTGCTTGTGTGCATTGATTGTTGAACACCATGATGAGACATGTGAGGGTAATGATGTCGAGGTCATTTCCGGCAAGTGTTTATGATGTCGAGATCATTTCCGACAAGTGTTATAAAGTTGATGGGAAATAGTTTTGGCTAGTGACTTGATATAAAGTCGATGGGAAATGGTTCTAGCTAATGATTTGATATAAAATCGATGTGAAATGGTTCTTGCTAGTGATTTGATATAAAGCTGATGGGAAATGGTTCCGGCTAGTGATTTGATATAAAGTAGATGGAAAATGGTTCCGGCTAGTGATATTGTGCCAATGAGAAATGGTTCCGGCGAGAAACTGACTATGGTTATTTGATGCATTTTGATGCTTATGTGTGACTTGTTAATTGTGATTGATGCACTTGTTACGTGTGTATGATCTACTTGACATTGATATTGACTTACTTGATGTGTGTTGAATTGTGACTATTGTGTTGTGATTATTGAGCCTTTTGAACTTTATATTGTAGAACTGTAAGCTGATTTCTGTGCAGATTGTAGTTGAGGAGGTTCGGTTGGGATGAAAGGAGTATTCATTTCCTAGTTAGGCTGATTTGTTTATTAGGTTGCTTGTTGGGTACGGTATTGTTGATACTCACTCCTTGGTTCTACACTTGTGTAGGTTTCCGAGCCCGGTACTATGGGATCGTCCTTCTTTTCCTATATTCTGAGGCTTGTCAAAGGACTATTGAGAGCTTTTCCTACTTATTACAAGAACTTGTAAAATAGAATTAATCTTAGGGCTTAATTACTATGGGAATGCACAACATTATTCATTCCTTTAATGTAGTTTAACATTAAAAGCAAAGTTTCACCCTATTTCAAGATATATATGGTAATAAAAGATTTTGCGTTTCAGAAATCCAGCAGCTAGTTTTCATCCAAAATATTTGAAATTTGAAAAATACACTTATTTTGAACTACTAAATATTTGTAGTTGTCTAGTGGTGGTCATGTCATCTCTTCTTCCCTCGAACCTATGAATAGAACTAATGTAAGTTTCATTAGAAGTACTAATGCTGTTTGAAACAGTGGATTGATCAACACATATATCCCAATAGTCCCTAGTGTAATAAGAGCATAATAAAGTTATGAAACAACAAATATATTTCCTATAAACACATACAATAGACTGTATGATACCTTTATAGATTGAGACTCTAACGTCACACAACCAAGAAAAGGTGTATCATCTTTCAACTTCTCCAAAAATGCACCGTCATATTCTGCGTAATCTGCTCCATGTTGGATTATAAGTTAGACGAGTTTAGTGAATACATCACCATATCTCTATAGATGGTGGAGTACGCATCATTGCAACTTACAGTTCATTAGTAACCACAATTTCTCGTCTTTTGCTATATTCTTTTTCAATGAGGGGATTTACCGTAACGAACAAGCAAATCAAGTCTGGTAAAAGGCCAATTAGTTAATTAATGATAGTTTTGTTATGTATTTTTGCATGGAAATAAGCAGTAAATCATGCAAATACTTACCGAATATACCACCATTTGGCAATTTCTCGGCATGTTCCATTAATGCAAATCCATCAGAGAATTTTTGTGTTGAAACGTCATGGTCAGTCTACTTTATGACTGTGTTATCTGTAAAGAACAGTTCCATTTCTTCATGCACAGAAGAGTAGTTGGGATGGACCCGATCTAAACGACCATTTACAATGGAGTCACTCTTATTTGGCTTCAGAAAGTCCTTCCTTGTTTCGATATGCTTATTAAATAGTGTTCCTTGAATCTTTGTCCCCTAGTATTGATAAACGGGTGATGGCAAAAGTATAGTAAACATGAACGATAGTTTAAGCTAAGTAAAAGTGTCAATGTTATTACCTCTTCATCAATAATTATTATCGTTCAGAAAGTCTCTTCATGCCTTGTATTCTTGTAAGGTATTATTGCACCCCCTTCGTATAACTAAGACTCTCATCACTCAATCAACGGAGTGTTTTGGTATCTTGTTAATTGGTACACTCTGTTTTGCTAGTTCCATTTCAGTCGCCATCTGCTATTTAAAATGCAGGCTTTCCTGATTGTTTTAAAGAGAGGATAGTGAGGAGTTGTGTATGTTTGATATTAGTATAAAAAACTCTCTGTCTTATGTTGAAAAAAGAAAAAAAAATCAACCAAATATGTTGTTCAATGTAACATGATTCTTGTCAATGGATTTTTGGAATTGTAGCCATACAATGAGTTTGGAAGTGCAACCATACAATGAGTTTGGAATTGCAACCATACAATGAGTTGAATAAATAAACGAAGCTGGCCCAGACATTAAACACTACTTTGACATTGTTGCCTTGACTTCTAGCAATCCCTATATATAGCAATTAAAGATGGAAGTTGACACTGCTAATTAATTCTAGGATATTCCCGGCGCAAATCCGGATTTAGTCGGGCTCCAATGTGAGTACCGAACACCGGGTGGGAAACCAAAAAAAAAAAAATAATCTAGGATAAGAGTATCAAGTGTGTGGTTTAAAATACAGGACGTTTGTAAATATAACTAAGTGGCATTTGAGGGGGTTTATTCTAAAAGTAATTTATTTGGATATTGGTAGAGTTTTTCTTCATTAGAGTGTATGTATAGTTGATTGAATTAAGACAGAATTTTTGTCTTCAAACTCAATGATTTTGATTTGGGCAACTGTAATGGTTGTTGTAACAAACTCAATTCCAGCAGAAGCACTCTTATATATATTAATCACTGAATACAAGTTATAACGTAGAATACGCACAACAAAGTAATAATACACTAACTAAGGAGAGATAAATCGAGAAAGAAGTAACCAGAAAGGGATGAGATACAAGACCATAGAAAGGAGATGAGAGGATCAGAAAGCCAAAGCTTCACATAATAGTTTTCATCCCCATTCTTCTAACTCCTAGTCCTTTTTAACAAAGTGTAAATGGGCCTGGATCCCAAATAAAACTGGACCTATTGCTTGCTTTCGGCCCAATAGCTCTTGTCAGCCCAATAACTACTTGTGTGACCTTAATATCGATATTGGGTTGGACTTGGTTCATAACAATACTCTCGTCCTCAATAAGA